AGGGGAGAGAAAAATTTTATGACGAATTTTTAAATTACACTACCAGGAGAAATAAAATTTGGGAATTTGTGTTTAAAAATTATTACTGGCGAAAATACAAAGTCAAATTTAGTAATCTAGAAAAGGGGGAATTTATTAATTTTCGGGAAAAGATATACACTTGAAAAACGGCTAGCGTTGAGCACTTGATACCACAAAAAATTTCTCGGGAACACAATTTAACTTCGGAAAATTTTGGAGAGGATATTATTTATTCGCTAGGAAATATTACCTTACTGGAAGGTAAGTTGAATTCTCGAAATGCTAACGATATTTGAGCAAGAAAAAAAATTCGAATTAAAAATCGTGAAGAAGGCTGTCCATTAAATTTAGAAAGGAGTTTTTTCTTTGACCGTGAATCATTAACTTCCGAAGATATACAAAATCGGTCGAAATCCTTGATCAATGAATTCAAAAATGAAATGAAATTGTTCGAAGTTGATTGAATTAATGAAGAAAAAAACTAACTGGCCTGCTACTCTCTATGTCGAAGGTCAAGACCAATTTCGGGGCTGATTTAATTCCTCGCTAATCACTTCGGTTATACTTACCGGCCAAGCCCCTTACCAGCAAGTCCTATCTCATGGCTTTGTGGTCGACGAAAAAGGCCGTAAAATGTCCAAATCCCTCGGCAATGTCATTGACCCCGAGGATATTTTGACCCATTTTGGTGCGGATATTTTGCGACTCTGAGTAATCAGTTGTGATTTTACCAAAGAAATAAAAATTAGTATTTCTATTTTGGAAAATCTCCGGGAAAACTACCGCAAAATCCGTAACACTTTTCGTTTTTTACTCGGAAATTTAGCCAATTTACCACCCGAATTACAAAAAGAAACCGATTTAACCTCTCAATTTAATTTAGTCGACTACTACCTTCTTCACCAATTAGAAAAATTACTTGCCGACAACCAAAGAAATTACAATGAATATAACTTTAACCCTATTTATTCTTCCCTTTTGAACTTTTGCATCAATGATTTAAGCACTTTTTATTTCGAGATTAGCAAAGATAGTCTGTATTGTGATAGCCTTACCAGCCCCCGCCGCAACCAGGTTATTGCTACTCTCTACTACTTATTATGAGGATTATTAAAAATTATTTCTCCAATTTTGCCTTTTCTGGCCGAAGAAGTTTACCAAAATATTCCTTTTCATTTTGGTTTTGCTGATTTTGAGAGCGTTCATTTAATAAATTGACCTTCGAAAATGAACTTCTCTCCCAGCCAGGAAAAAAAAATTCAACTAATTACAGAACATTTTTTTCCCTTGCGTAACGACATTTACCAATTATTAGAAAAAGCCCGGCAAAAAAATATTATTACTACTAATTCCCAGGCTTCCTTATTAATTCACATCCCGCGTGAAAAAAACCCGCCACCAGAATTTTTTCAGTTGAGTTTAACTGAATTATTAATGGTGGCAGAAATCCGATTTACTCCCAAATTAAAAAAAGACATGATGACGGGAAATTTTTGTTCTCTTTATCTAGAAAACACTCAATTAAAACGTTGCCAACGCTGCTGGAATTACCGGTCAAAAGACCAAGATTTTTGTGAACGCTGCTATAAAATTTTTCTCATTCCCCAGTTCCCTTCCTAGTTTTTTCCCTGAGTCCAAAATTATTTCTGCTTCAAGTCTTGATATTTTTTTTCAATAGTGGCAACTAAAAAAATTAAGAATTGACTAGATTTTTCTTTATTAGATTACTAGTTCTAATTTTCTCGAAAAACTCAAAAAAGTTAAGAAAATTAAAGATTGTTAGAAAATTATCTCCTTGTTATCTTCTTTTTCCGCAGCCAATTTCCCACACTTATTTCGAACCAGTATTCAGCTGATTAGACAAACAAAAAAGGAAATGAAAAAAACTATCATTCCTATTAATGGAGATAATATGAAATGGTCAATAGATCTTATTACCACATACATGCCTTAAACTAATCCACATTCATTTTCAGCGGTAATCTCGCTCGACTTCTCATTCAGATAATTGCTTGATATTTTGGTTTCTCTCTCTCTCTCTCTATGATTATTGACATTTGAATTTTTCATAGTATATTATATTTTCAATAAAAAATTAGGAAT